AAATTTGTTATCAGTGAGGGTGCCAGAGCCCTGGAACAGGCTGCCCAGAGAGGTTGTGGAGTCTCCTTCTCTGGAGATCTTCAAAACCCACTTGGATGCAGTCCTGTGCCACGTGCTCTAGGTGACCCTGCGTATGCAGGGGGGTTGGACTATATGACCTCTAGAGGTCCCTTCCAACCTTAAGCATTCTATGATTCAATGATACTCCTGTACCTTTAAGATTTCCTTCTTGAGGAAAGTTCAACCTTCCTGGACCCCTTTGCTCTTCAGGACTGTCTCCCAAGGGACTCTCCCAACCAATGTCCTGAGTCTCTAAAATGTAGGTATAAACAAATATATGTAGGAAAGGAACATATATAGGAAATAATAATCTACACAACCCTAAAATGTCATCCTGCGACAACAACACACACAGTCTGCAAACTCTCCTAGCAGTCATCTGTGCTTTTTATTTGAAAGGTAAGAAAGCCCATGGAAAAATGCCTCCTGCATTCTTCAAGCCTTTATTGTGGACTTACCCATGGTCATTTCTCCCCTCTTCTGGAGCTGCTGGCTCTCATCACACACTGTCTTAATTGCTGACCAGAAACTTTCTAGGAGTGTTATAAAACAAATATAGTATGTCAGGATAAAGTATTGCAAAGTCACACAAAAATTAATTTAAGGGAATGTTTATCAAAATATCCGAATCTAAGTACTTTGTTTTCACGATGTGTGTTTACTGACACATCACAGGTATCCTGAATATAAATTGTCTTAAGATTGCATAAGCAGCATTAGCATGGGAAAAAGTCAGGAAATTATTATGGAAAAAACAAACAGGCATCAAGGCTGATGTTACTAACAAGACTATGTGACATGGGATGCAAAGAGAAACTGAATAGAAAATTGTAGGTAACGTTCCCGGACATTTTTTTTTACATAAAGACAGAAGCATGAGAAAGAGAGAGAGAGAGACTAATTGAGCTGTCACTATTATTGCATATGAAAAATCCTCAAACTGTTTTGAACTTTCATACTCCACATCTAAACACTAGTCTTAATCTTGGTTTCTTCTCTCTCATATGTTAATAGACCAGGTGTAATTTTTGCTTTTCATGGAATCACAGAATGATTTGAGGTTAGAAGGGACCTTTGGAGATCATCTAGTCCAAATCCCTTGCTCAAGCAGGGACACCTAGAGCATGTGGCACAGGATTGCTTCCAGGCAGGTTTTGAATATCTCTGAAGGAGACTCCACAACCTCTCTTGGCAGCCTTTTGCAGTGCTCTGTTACCCTCACAGTCAAGAAGTTTTTCCTCAAATTCAACCAGAAGTTCCCGTGTTTTAGTTTGTGGCCATTGCTTCTGATCCTATTGGTGGCCACTGATGAAAAGAGTCTGGCCCCATCCTCGACAGCCTTCCTTAAGGTATCCGTATACACTAATAAGATCCTCCATCAGTATTCTCTTCTTTAGTCTAAACAGGCCTAGCTCTTTCAGCGCTTTCTCATAAAACAGACGCTCCAGATACTAATCATCTTTGTAGCCCTATGCTTGATTCTCTCCAGTAGCTCCGTGTCTCCCTTGTACGGAGCCCAGAACTGGACACAGCACACCAGATGTGGCCTCAGCAGGGCTGAGGAGAAGGGGAGGATCTCTTCCCTCAAACTTCTGGCAACACTACCTAATGCAGCCCAGTATACCATTGGCCTTCTTGGCCACAAGCACACATTGCTGGCTCACGGTCAGTCTGTAGTCCACCAGGAGCCCCCTTGGTCCTTCTCTGCAGAGCTGCTTTCCAGAAGGTCAACCCCCAGCCTTTACTGGTTCATTCCAGGCCACACCTGGATTAATGTGTGTGGTTCTGGGCTCCCCACTACAAGAGAGACATGGAGCTTCTAGAGAGGGTCCAGCGTAGAGTGATGAAGATGATTAAGGGACTGGAGCATCTAACGTATGAGGAAAGACTAAGTGAGCTGGGCCTGTTTAGCCTGGAGAAGAGAAGGCTGAGAGGGGATCTGATCAACATGCAGAAATACCTGATGGGAGAATGTAAAGAGGATGGGGCCAAACTATTTCTCGGTGGTGGCCAGTGACAGAAGAATGGTTAGTGGGTACAAATTGGAACACAGGCAGTTCCACCTCCATGTGAGGAAGAACTTATTTCCTGTGAGGGTGACAGAGCCCTGGACCAGGCTGCCCAGAGAGGTTGTGGAGCCTCCTTCTCTGGAGATCTTCCAAACCCGCCTAGATGCGACTCTGTGTCACGTGCTCTGGGTGTCCCTGCTGGAGCAGGGGGGTTGGACTAGATGATCTCTAGAGGTCCCTCCCTACCTTAACCATTCTGTGATTCTGTGATTCTGTGAAATAAATAGCTAGAAGGACAATTGTTTGTAAAAGTTTTTAAGCATATCCAAGAAATAGAAATCTGTAAACAATCTTCATTCTATAAAGCAGGCTGTTAAGTCCATCTTTGAGGAAAGTGAGTGGGTTATAAAATAAAGCATTTGCATTTTCATTGCAATATTTTTATACTATGGAGAAACAGGATTCATCCTCTAGATCTGTGAAATCTTTTTATAATCACAGTCTAGAGTAAGAGAAGGTTGCACAATAATAAGTGTTGTGGTTTCCCAGAAAATGTACAACAATGCTAGATGTCTGCAAGAGTTTGACAGCTGTCCTCTCTATGCAGAAATTCCATAGACAATTGTTTTTCAGCTTTTCTAGCATCAGAGTTTTGGGAGTGAAAAACCTACTACAAAGAATAGTTTTTAATGCTTTTTTGCAGTAATATAATTGAAAGAAAAAAGTAATGTTGTCTTCCTTAATTCTCGTTGGTACACTTTTTTTTTTCTGGTGGTCAAGAATAATATTTCTTACTTAGCCTATCAGAGCTGGAAAAATTAGACAAGCTTTTAGCCCATAAGCCCTTCTGCGGGCTTATGGGGGTGGCAGGGAGAGAGAATACAGGGATAGTCTCCAAAGT